CAGCAACAGTCAAAGCACCCAATGCAGAGTAAGCAGGACGTGTGTACACACCCCGAGACTGTTAATTGCCATACAAAAGAAGTGCTGAAAGGGAAAGTGTCTTTCCATCATAGACAGGATGGTCTTTTGGTATAGCGTAACTTCTTTGACTCTCAGTAGTCTCAATCCTATAGGAAGGGCAACCTTCACCTGCACAACTATAGCTGTGCTCTAGATGGGGCAAGTAGAAATGATCTGATTTCTTACGTTGCCTGCAATCCTCCTAATAGTAGCTATTGCAAAGAACCTGAGTCAGCTACACGAGCAAGAAAGTGCCAAGAAGTCCTGTCCCTTCAGAAAAATGGCATGTCTTACGTAATGGAAAAATAAGTGTGATTGAGGAGCTAATTTCACGTGGCTTCAGTTCCCCTCGGTTGGCTCATTTGCCATTCCACTTTTAAGTCCTTGTTCATGAAAACAAATTAGAAACTGAAGAGAGTTTGTATTTTGTCACAAGATAACTGGTTTTAAAAGAGGATGTGGGAAACTGCACTCATGGACAGATGCCTGACTAGCTAAACAGGATATGTAGGTCTGTGTCAATAAGCAACTGAAATAATTCTACATCCTCAAGTAAGACCGTAAAGTCTTTGGCCACCTAATCTGTTTCCCAGAAGGCAGAACAAAAGTACAGGACATGTTCACAAGGGGAGATGTTTCGAGCAAAGACTATTGCATCAAATCAGCCTTTGCCAACTTGGTGCCCTATGGATATTTTGGACCATAAGTATTGGGCTAGAGGGAGATGTTGTCCAAAATATCTGTAGGGCATCAAGTTGAGACAACACACACTAGTTCCAATACACAGTTCATTGGATTGCCTGTTTTTAAAAGAAATCTGACAGGCAGAAATTTAGAAGGTGATGAGGTTATGGGGGCAGCTTCACTGAATAATTTCAGCACACTGGCTCACTAGGGAAGACACAGGAGCAAGGTCAGTTTAAAGTTGGCAGTCCTAGAATGTGATCTCCTATTATAATACGCTTACTAAACTGGTCCAGGTGATAGAAATTGGAGGTTGAATGGAAGCAGCACCAGCTATAGAGTTGGAGAGTACACAGAAGTGGTCACGCCTACCTCTTTTGTTTTTTATACATACATATTTGCATGCATGCATACATAATTTTATTTGTATGCTGCCTTTCCACAGTTCAAGCAAAGCTAAAGGCAGCTTACAATATGAAAACTACAACATAACAAAAATAGTCACAAACAATAAGGCATTAAAAACACACAACTAAACTGAACAATTTCCACATAAATAACAAGATCTAAAATAAAGATAGCCCCCCCAAAAAAAAACAGCAACAACCCCCCTCCAAATAGCACCCCAGCCTAAGAGTCTGTTCAGCAGTCTCAGCTTTTGTAGCTGGAGTCAGTCCGGACCCACCCTCCCAGTCCAGTTGGGAAAAGGCCTGCAAGGCAGGGAACAGGGAGAGACATTCCAGAAAGTCACGCATTTAATGTTTACTCGTTTAGTATTCTGATAAAATTGCCCCTGCTGCCTTTTGAAACAAAACAGTAAGATACGGTGGGGGGGGGATTAACTCCTTGGTCTATACCAACCTGTCAAATGTTCCAGCATCATAGCTGGAAAGCTGACATAACTAGCTATCATAAGGGAGACGCCTTGGAGGCACACAGTTGACTAAAAATATCCTTTCAGTGCACTTCATTGGTCTGAAGGTCAAGCATTGCTAATGACGATTAGGAAAGAGATCAGTTCTGTGAGTGCCCTAATAGAAAACTGTGTGTGTCCATACCTTGAGTAGAACATGCAGTTCTAGATGTTCTACAGTAGATCTAATAAAAAGCCGGAGCATTTCTTCCATTGTTTCACAGGCCATATAAAACCAGAGGGGCGCAGCCTGACCAAAATGAAGGCTGTGTGAACTTCCAGTTTGTAGGCTTGGCAAGATTTCAGGCCAGGGTTAGTTTTCTGCAGGGCTTTATCTCACCGTTGTCCTTTGGGAGGGATGCGGGTGGCGCTGTGGTCTAAACCACTGAGCCTCTTGGTCTTGCTGATTGGAAGGTCAGTGGTTCAAATACCCGTGACGGGGTGAGCTCCCGTTGCTCTGTCCCAGCTCCTGCCAACCTAGCAGTTTGAAAGCACGCCAGTGCAAGTAGATAAATAGGTACCGCTGTGGTGGGAAGGTAAATGGAGTTTACAGCCGCTCTAGTTTCCGTCCTGTTCTGTTGCGCCAGAAGTGGATTAGTCATGCTGGCCACATGACCCAGAAAGCTCTCTGTGGACAAATGCCAGCTCCCTCAGCCTGAAAGCGAGATGAGCACCGCAACCCCATAGTCACCTTTGTCTGGACGCTACCGTTTTTTTAACCTGTCCTTTGGGGCTCGCTATTGTTGGCTCCTTTCCCTGAGATGGCTAATCCACGCTTATTCTGGCTGTGCTGCCAAATCCATGGCACAAATGATGGTCCCATTTTGTTTCACTCTCTTGGGTAGCATAATGAAATCCTGCAGAGCTGGAGGCGATTGTCAGAGAGAAACTTTGTTCTGAGCATCAGCAAGCCAGGTGGAATTGTACATGATTAGTGGTTGTACTCTCTGCTATAAGAAACTGCTTGCTTCCAATATGCTCTGCTTGTATGTTTGCGTGCGTGCATGCGCGCACACACACCCCCCCCAATCAAGTATCATAAGGGCTCTGTAAATATTCAGTATTCCATCTAATTTAAATGGAAATTGACCTTTTAAAGGGCTAGCTCTGGAACCTCTCCTTTTCACATTTTCCTCCTTACCAGATATATGAATAAACTCTTCTCTTCGGCTGTAAACTGCCATGAGCATCCCAGTGATTTAACAACATAATTTAGAAAAATAACGAAGATCTGGATAAATGCACTGAACATTTCTTTCCAGCAACGTACCTTTAAAAAAAGAAAGAGAAAAATAGCTTGATGCTCCAAGATATTCTTAGGGATAAGCACAGTTACCTCAAACATGTGGTCATTCTGTCTCTTTCATACTAGGAAGAATAATTGTATGTAAAGAAAGTTGTCACCTTAAGTCATGCCCAGATTTTGGAAAAGAAATACAAACCGCAGAAATCAGTTCCACTTGCATAGTTACCCTTACCTTCTAAAAGAGGAATTAAATCTACTTGTCATACTATGTATTCCCAAACTTGAGCAGCAGCTTGTATGACCTATATCCTGTTCAATGCATCTTACATCTTATTTGTTGTTTTATTACATTTAGCTAGTGTGGTATAGTGGTTAGAGTGTTGAACTAGGACCTGGGAGACTAGGGATCAAATCCCCACTTGGCCATAAAGCTCAGTGGGTGGGCCATTCACTTCCTCTCAGCCCTAACTTACCTTAAAGGGTTTTGGGGTGCAAATTGAGGGGGAGAACCACATGCAGCACCTTGAGCTACTTGGGGAAAAGGTGAGATATAAATGCAATAAATAAACAGAATCATGCCATTCCTCAAAGGTGCTCAAGGTCACATGCATGGTCCTCCCCTTTCTTAATATTATCCTAACAACCACCCTGAGAGGAAGGCTGAGAGACAGGAAGAGGCCCAAGGTTTTTGGCCCGGCTGGCATTTGAACCTTGGTCTCCCCAGTCCCTGTCCAACACTTTGACCACTAGACCACACTGTCTCTCAGCATTACCTAGGCAGTCAGTCCTTTTGGGGGGGAGTTTCAGTCCTTACTCAGGCAGAGATCTGAGGGCAACAACTGTCAATCACTGTCTTGGAATTTTCCAGTGAAACAAAGCTTGAGAAATTGTTGCTTTTTGCATTGTGTTTAATAATTATGGTGATCAATTTTGAATTTGCCTGGCAAACAAAAAGCATCCAAATTATTGGTTGTGTATTTGAATGCTTGATTTAACATCTCTTAATATCCAGTGGGTATCCAGGGACGAGGGTGGCACTGTGGGTTAAACCACAGAGCCTAGGACTTGCCAATCAGAAGGTCAGCGGTTTGAATCCCCGCAACGGGGTGAGCTCCCGTTGCTCTGTCCCTGCTCCTGCCAACCTAGCAGTTCAAAAGCATGTCAAGGTGCAAGTAGATAAATAGGTACCGCTCCGGTGGGAAGGTAAATGGCGTTTCTGTGCCCTGCTCTGGTTAGCCAGAAGCGGCTTAGTCATGCTGGCCACATGACCCGGAAGCTGTACGCCAGCTCCCTCGGCCAATAAAGCGAGATGAGCGCCGCAACCCCAGAGTCGGCCATGACTGGACCTAATGGTCAGGGGTCCCTTTACAAAGGTAATATCCAGTGTAGTCTGTTTCTGGTATCTAAACGGAATCACTCAAGTAAGGCTCTACCCCCCCCCCCTGAAATGCAAACGAGAGGCAAATTGGAGCAAAAGATCCAAGCACCTTCTCAGTGAATGATTGCCTCCGGCAGCTCACTTTTATTTAGGAATCTGTGCTACACCTTCCTTTCCGAAGTTGTGTGGCTCTGCTTGCATCGATGATAAAATCAGCTCCCATGAGCATCTGACAGCGGCAAAGAGGCTGCTCGCACCTGGAGGCAAGAAGGATATTGAAAGCTGTTGGGGGCAAAGGGGGTGATCTTGCCAGATTTTACACCATATATGAGCGAACACTGTAGCTGGACGTTCTCAAACACATTCACTCCTTTGGTTTCCTCTGAAATCCGCAGTGATAAGTTTGAAAGTTGCTGGTAGTGCCCGAAAAGGAACCAGGGGGCAGTGTGATGTAAGAGGAAAAGCAGAATGTTTATTCAAGTTTGAACACTTAAAGGGACGACGTCAAAAACCTTTATTACAATGCATTAATATCTGTTGGGTGGGGCTCGCCGCGGATGCAGCTGACGGCTTAGTTTCTCAGGTGTTGCGGGTGCTGTCCTTAGTGCTGATCCGTGACATGAAAGCAGCACTTAGAGCGGGTGCGGTGGAGAGGTCTCCGTGGTACTTTCTGGCCGAGGAGTTTCCGGTCTTCTGGTGCTGCCGGAGCTGGCCTTGGTGCAGAAACCCTGTCCAGGCGCTGCAGCTTTATGGATCAGTAAAAGCTGCAAGGTTCTCGCTTGCTCAGCACTTCGCAGTCCCAGGAAACCCAGATCGTCAACAACCGCCCCCCTCCCTCCCGCACGCCGCCGCCTCCCGTACCTCTAGCCTAGCTTCACTTCAGGGCGACCTCTCTTTAGATGCGTTTCTTTCGCACCTTTTCCTTCTCCGGGAGAGGAGGAAAATGTAGCAGGCTTGAGTCCGGAGAACTGCTGCGCTCGCTTGCTGCATTGAGGTCTGGCCCGGAGCCGGCGCGTTTAGCATTGACGCAATAAAATTAGCCTGGAGAAGAGAAATGGAGACGTACTGGGGATATCAGAGCGGGGCTGGCAGCCCTTATGACTACTCGGGGATGGGTGCCAATGGGACTGGCATCCAAAGCAGCACTTACTACAATGAGGACCTTCTGCACAAGGTACAGATGTGTTCTGTGTGTGAGGGGGGGTAGTTGTAGGACGTAGGGCAGAGCAGAGAAAGAGTTAAAATTAGAAGCACTGCATGAAACAACATCAAGGAGACAGAACGCTATGATACAAAGGAGAGCGACGGAGGCTTATTCAATGTGATCTTTATCGTTTATGCCTGGTGCTGTAGAAGTTGAATGTATGGGACAGGAAGTCTTTCACATCCTGCTTGTGAGCGTCCCAGAGGCATCTGGTTGGCCACTGTGGGAACAGAATGTTGGACAAGATGGGTCTTTGGTCTGATCCAGCAGGGATCTTCTTATGGTTAAAAAGAACCCCAACAAAAACTGTAGAGTTCTTAAGGAGAGCAAGTAAAAGAGATAGGAGAGAAATTGGTGCTGCATGTAAATTCATTGCAATTGCATACACTTTTATAGGGGAGGGGAGGGAAGTTTAAACCAGAGCCATCAAATGGAAATCAGCTGTCGAATTTGTGCACTGTCTTTTTAAAAAAAGGACTCTGGTCCTAAGCTTGCATATTTTCATATAGCAGCTCCTCCGAGCTCCCTCTTGAACTATCCAAGTAAATATCTGCAATGTTTGGAGAGCCCAAAAGATGGCGAGAACGAGTCCTGAACGTGATGGGACATTAATGCCAGGCTGTGGCTTATTTATAGAACCCCATGAAGAACAGCACTGCAAGAAACTTCCAATTTGCCAGCAAATTACAGGGAATGGATCTGTTTTTGTCTACTGTGTTGTTGACACAACACAGCTGTTGAACAACAACTGTTAGTTAGGCTCCTTGTTTATTTCCAAGGACTAATTAGGATAATTTGAAGAGGAGATGCAAACAATCATTGAATTTAAAGAGAAATAGGGTGTGTTGTCTAAAACAGACCCCAAGGGGAGTTTTTGGAAACCTGTCATGTGAACTATGTGGTTCCACCCTGCAATCAGAGTCTTTTGGGTGGAAGCCCTCTCTTATAGTGCCTGGGCAGCTTCTATTCTGGATAACAGGATTGCTGTGTCTGTCATCCTTGTGTTCTGTATCTTTCTGTAGTGTCTCTCTCTCTCTCTCTCTCTCTCTAATAGCCTGCAGTCCTCAAGCCACTTATTCCTTACGACTCTAATAGTTCCTGAATTTAATAAGGCCTCACCTCTGTTAACTCAACTTAATGGGTTTGATGGCTGCATATTTCAGCCATGCAGGGTTCTTGGTCAGTATTAAGTTCTTGCTCCCAAATGCATCCATTTGTACCTATTCCCATCATCCAGTCCTATGTATCTAATGTGTGGCTGTTGCTTCCATACGATTAGCTCTTGGGATGGATTGATGCTGGGGTTGAATCTTTAAATGCTCTCTGTGGTTTGGGTGTTTGTGAGCCAGGTGGATTGTCAGGCTGCCTTGCTTCCCTTACCCCAAGTTGGTGATAAAAATAAATACAGTGATACCTCAGGTTAAGTACTTAATTCGTTCCGGAGGTCCGTACTTAACCTGAAACTGTTCTTAACCTGAAGCACCACTTTAGCTAATGGGGCCTCCTGCTGCTGCCACGCCGCTGGAGCACGATTTCTGTTCTCATCCTGAAGCAAAGTTCTTAACCTGAAGCACTATTTCTGGGTTAGCAGAGTCTGTAACCTGAAGCGTATGTAACCTGAAGCATATGTAACCCGAGGTACCACTGTAAATCAAAATTACAGGCAAGCAAACTTGCAGCTTCTAATAAGATTGCCATGGATGTTGAGGAGGCTATTGCTGCTGGTGTAGGAATTTGTCGCCACGTCAGCATCATGCATGCTTGATGCCCATGGTTCTATAATATTTTACTGAGTTTTAGCTATTTAAAATATTGGCTCATGAAGTCCACTGTTGGGAAAGTTCTGTGATGTGTGAAAATACTGGGTTGTATCTTGTGTTAGTCCTACTACTCAGTCCTCCTCAGTCATGTTCATTAATTTCAGTGGGTTTATTCTATCTTAGGTCTGTTAATTTCAGTGGGTCTATGCTAAGAAAAAACTTAATGGGATGCAACCCACCATTAATGTGTGTGTGTGTGTGTGTGTGTGTGTGTGTGTACCTGTGGTGTTGTCTGCTTCCCCCTATCAGATTCCTTGACAACTACATGCTTTAAAATGTAGGTGATAACTTGTTTGCTGTGTGACATGTTCTTTCCTTGGGTTGGTCTGCCTCTAGGACAGAGGCATCAGTTCATTTCAATCCTTTGTTTGAAAGAAATAGAAGCAAGGTTTAGACCCTTTTTAATTATTCCTTTGGAGAGTTTTTCAAGGTTATTATAATCAAGGAGATGATGGGGCTCTTGTATACTACCTGAAGTCAAACCCCAGTGCACATGTGTACGTTTAATGACCTGGACTTCTCTGAAAACTGGTTGTTGTCTTGAAATTCAATTGCTTCCTTTCATTGTCTGGCTCATCTTCCCTCTTGTGGCTACATCAGCCCTATAAGTCTTGATATAAATGGGTTATTAAAGCCTGCACCTTGTCAGAAGCTTGTCAGACCAATTACAGGAGTACCAAACTTTTAAGGCTTCGTTTATCGTTCCCCCTGCCTTCTGATGAAGTCGGATGAGCACCGGCAGTCTAGCTGTCAGCTCATTGTAATGTTGGCCTAGTTCTCTGGGCCAACTAGAAGTGACATTGGGAAACCCATAATCATATCTTCTGTGATTTTTTTATTTATTTAATGCTAAATGAAGCCACCTGAGTGAGGGTGGTATTTAGACTAGGGCTACTTTCCCCCCTTTTCACTGATTTCCCATCTTGACTCATTAACCCCCCTGTCCCAATTTGCTGATAGGAGAGGTAGAATTACAGGTACCCCCCCCCACATGGAGCAAATATTAGCTCTGGGGGCAGGCAATTCATATCAGGGAAATGGCATGGGAGGGGGGAGAATGGTTTAAAATGTTCACCCAGTGCTACAATCAACAGCCCCAGTACAAATCTAGTTCTCCTGCAGCTGAATTTATCAGTTAAAAAATGTGAGAGATACAGTCACAGGTGTCATATGGGATCAGACCCTCACAGAGAAGGTAAGCATGTGTCCGGACTGTACCACTTCACATTGCAGGTGGAGGCCCACATGATTTGAATGTTCCATTCTAGATACAAAAATGAATAAAGAAAGCCGTCCACACATTAACATGATAAGTATGGCAATGATGTTGGGGAGAGCGCTAGACTATATAATTCTTCCTGACATCATTTCCTGTGTGGAGGAGGATGTTGCTGTTGTTTTGTATGGAAGAGTCTTCAGTCATGTTGTAAGCCTGTAGTGGTGCGGCCCAGTTGTAGGTGAGAGCTATGCTGCTGATTGTTTTCTTTAGAATTGCCAAGTCTCCAAATTGTCTTCTGGGTGACCCAAAATGTTAGTCACAGTGGGAACCACTGGGAGGTGAGTGATTTTGTAGTTGGATCTCAAGTAGAAGGCACTACCCAAACCGGTAGGGTTTCCTGAAGGTTCCCATATGACTTGTGCAAATGGTAAGAGTTGCTTGTGAAAGAAAAATGCTACCACCACCATGGAAAGAGTTAAAGTAGAAGTCACTCCTATAAATGGAATATAAAGGGGCACTATAGGGAGAAGGGCAACAGCTGCTTTGGTATGTTAATAACTACCCAATGTCTTTTGAAGACAAGCAAGGTGGAAATAAGGAAACACAGGACCTTCTTGCAGGGATGAGGAACCCATGCCCCTTCCAGATATTATCGGACTCCAGCTCCCATCAGCCCCAGCCAGGAGAGCCGCTGGTCAGGAATGATGGGAGCTGTAGTCCATCAATATCTGAAAGGCCACAAGTTCTCCACCCTGGGTTATGTTCATCCACTCTACAAGTGCCAGAGTCAGAGAGCAGAAGAAAGCAGGATAGACCAGCATAGAGGTGACTTTAGGTGAGGAGGAGGAGGAGGAGGAGGAGACTTTTAGAAAAATTAACAAAGCAAGCAAACTCTGTTTTATGCTCTGCAGGCAAATGAAATGTGGAAATATCCTGAGTCATCAGCAAATCCTTCATAATACTCAATTTGGTAAACAGATTATGAACTGCAAGAACCTGGTTTCAATTGCTTTACTCCTAGGAATATTTCCTTAGTATTTGGCACCAGTTCATTGTCCCTTCAATAGTGGTGGCTGCCCCTGGGACCCTATTAAGGGGAGGAGGGGAGGTTTCAAACTGTGAGTGAAGGAAAATATGAGATGGGAAAACCTTTTAAGTTTCTCTGTCCTCTCCACCCTCTTCAAATTGCTTTCACATTTGATAATCAATGGGATACTCCTTTTTTTAAAACTGATGCAGCATTGATGTGGGGTGCAGCTTCTGCTCCTGATTTAACCAGCTCCTGTGCTGAGGAGTGCTTTGTATGGAGAAGTGAGCTGTAAAAAAAAGAAAAACTTGATGTGGATATGCTGTAGGCTTCTTGTTAACATTTCTGCATTTCTGCAAAGCCCACAAAACAGCTGAGTGAAATGCCCCATTTTGGAGAACAAGTGGGACTTGACACACTTTTGGAAGGCAAGTTTCCCCAGCAGTGGCAATGCCCAAACAGGAAGTGGAACAGGAAGTTGCCACTATTACTGTCCTCACAGGGGAAGCCTAGAAGTGTCTGCTCTGTGTTGGCAGGAATTCAAGGTACGTGCAGGACCTTGGAGAGCTCACAAAGTCCTATACCCCTGTCTATACAAATTACTGTATTTGAAGCTGTGCAAACGGTTATCACTGTAAGCACCTAGATGTAGCTGGAGCCTTATATGAATTGACTGGATTTCTCATGTAGTGAGTCCCACCTCCTTTGGAGGTGTTGGTTATTAAAGGGTCCTCGTCTTTTCTCTCTTTTTTTGCAGTCTTCAGGTTCTCTGGGTCTGGTGAGATAGGCGCTGTGGGAGACTCACCCTCTGAATTAGAGGAGGGTGGTAGAGTTGTGTCCTCCAGCCAGATGATCCTGAAGAAGGTCTTAGTAGTTCTTCACCCACAAACAGATCTAGAGCCTC